CAAGCATGCTAACAATAATTCTAAGACGATTCCAAACCAGTATAGTATTCTATATAAATCGATGTGCACTGGCCTACAAAAGGATAAACAGAACTTTACCTGAATACATGAACACATCTTTAAGGAAAAACTCTGACGTCCATTCGAGANTGTAAATTGTGTTTCTGAGAGTATGTTTAATTATCTGTAGTAGCTTCACAGTGACTTCCTTTGTTTTGACATGGTCCAAATAAAATACAATAGCCAAACTCCTGCATGTAAACACAAACAAAGGTGTGGCTGACTAGGGCCCTTTAAAAAAACACTATTACTGACAATTTATTTCAAATATGAGGTTTCTTTCAGTATGAAATGACTTAAAACTTTGCAGCAATTAGCTCTTTTAATAAATAATGTTTGCAACAGGAATATCATGAAATTGAACCACAAGCGTTTTTTTCAACAAGCATCTTCAGACTTTAATGTAAGCTTTTTAATGTGTAAATGATTAAATAGCATTTTAAAAGAGAAACAAACTTTGGTCTTCTTTTTTAGACTACAAGTGAGCAGATCGATATGAGTCCAGATTTCTTGTCAGTCAACTAGTTGAAAACATAATTGGAACTGACATTGTCCTATGTTAGGAGGCCCTTTTTTTCAGGAAACACGTAAAAAAACATCAGAAACAACAGTATTTGAGAGTGAATCCTAATTAATTTGAAGTTGATTTATGGGAGTATAATTTTCTCACAACTCTCAATTGTTAATCAAAACTGCCAGGAGATATTAACATATAATTTATAAAATTTATGAACAACATTTATCTTGACATTTTCTGTCCAGCTGACAAGAATCAAGTCTTGGTGCATTTTTATCAAAATGTGGCAATTACCTAATGGTGGTGTGGACAGAGGATTTTAGAGAGGGGGATTTGAGATATCCACTAGGGGGAACCGGGTGAATCCTATCCTGGAAAATTTTTTAAATTGAGGTCCTTGCAAATGGGATTTCTGGCATTCTGAGGCCAAGTCAGCAAGTTATAATTTGTTTAATTTAGGGGTTGAAGATCGAAGCACAGCCAGGATGAGACATAATCAAAATTACAATAAAAACATTCGCTGTCTAAAAATTTTCAAAAAAGAACATGAGCTTTCGGCTGTTGTTCTACAGCCTTCAACAGATCAAAAATGGAATGCAAAATAATAAAATATATGCAAGAAAAGGCGAGATAAAAATAATAAAAAGGACAAAAGCAAAGTAAAAATGTGTAAATTAGGTGACTATTGTTTAAAAAGAATACTAAACTTGATTGGAATCAGCTTAGAATTATTGTCAGCATGCTTGGTCACAAAGGTGTGCCAAGCTTCCAAAGTTTTTCTAATGCGAAAGGAGCCTTTTCAATGATGCTAGAATTGCCAAAATCTATGCGATAGTTGAATGACCATGCATGGTTCACAATGTTTGATCCATTAGCACATGTTTTGACATTCCTGATATGTTCTTTCTTACGAGTTTCAAAACACCGCCCAATTTCGCCTACATAACACAATCGGCACAGGGTATTTTATAAATCACTTTCGGTTAATGTTCAATAGCTGGTCTGAATTTGGGAGAAGGAAATTCTTGTTGCAAAGTCTTGAAGGGCTTATTTACAACTTGAATGTCGTGCCTTCAAAGAATTCTAGTCAGTGGTTGTGTGACACCATTGATGAAGGGAAGGACAGCAAAACTGTTAGGATTCTCTTGAGGCACAGCCCATTTAAAAAACATTCAAACAAATTCTTCAGGTGTGGGGATGGCATGGGGATGGCATATTGATTGTGTTGGAAATAACATAGGAGAGACAGTTGTTGGCTCGTAGAGAATCAGTGACGTGGTTGATTTCGGTATTTTCCCTTGTGATGTACCAGGGAGTTTAATTGCACAGTGTAAGAGGGTCTCAGCTGTGCTAATCTTGTGGTGTTTGTCATGGTGAGAAGAAAAGTCTAAATATCTGTCCGTGCGGGTTGCTTTGCAATATACACCAATATTGACTGTGTTATCCTCGTAGGAAACCAAAGTATCTAAGAAAGAAATATGTTGGTCAGATTCCTCCTCAATAGTGAATAAGATGTGTGGATCAATGGAATTAAGTGTAGCATGAAAGGAGTTGACAGCATTCCTTTTGATGATACAAAAACTGTCATCCACATAGCGTTTCCATACTTTAGGTTGTACTTCAGACGTGTTGATGGCCACTTCTTTGATCGCTTCCATGCACGAGTCGCCACCACAGGGCTGACAGGGCTACCCATCATGTTCTTTTTTGAAAATTTTTAGCCAATGAATGTTTTTATTGTAATTTTGATTAATTCAGGGGGTTTAACCCCTAAT